ACAGTAACAAGGGGACACAGTTGGAAGCTGAAGACACAGATGAATCACAGGGATGTTAGGAAGTATTTCTTCAGCCACAGAGTAGTCAGTAAGTGGAATAGTTTGGGAAGTGATGTAGTGGAGGCAGGATCCATACATAGCTTTAAGCAGAGGTATGATAAAGCTCACGGCTCAGGGAGAGTGACCTAGTAGCGATCAGTGAAGAGGCGGGGCCAGGAGCTCGGACTCGACCCCCGCAACCTCAACTAGGTGAGTACAACTAGGTGAGTACACATACACACACACACACACACACACACACACACACACACACACACACACACACACACACACACACACACACACACACACACACACATACATACACACACATACATACACACACTCACACACACACACACACACACACACACACACACCACACACACACACACACACACACACACACACATACATACACACACATACATACACACACTCACACACACACACACACACACACACACACACACACACACACACACACACTTGACTCAGGGGGTTGGGTGGGGTCTGGGCTGACCAAACACACTAGACTCCTCAGAATGTTTACTTTAAACTAAAGTTGCAATGTTTCCCACTGCTCAGAGAGGCCAGCAAGAGGAAGGCAAGAGCTATGAGTTTGTGTTGCATATATTGCGATATGATCTGTATGCATGCACATATGCGTGTGAGCATGTACGTACATGACCACACATGTACGCACATGTATACATAATTTTTGATGACAGGAGGATAATATATGCATATATATATATATATATATATATATATATATATATATATATATATATATATATATATATATATGATTTTAAGCAATTAATAATACTGCGACTAGTCGGGGCTCGAACCCGTGTTATTTTAGCCCGTCTGATGGGAAGCAAGTCAAAATTCACGACGTTCTAATCACTGGGTCATCAATCCTACAAGCATCATTTACCGCACTACGCATGTTCTTGATGCGAGGACATACGTGGCTGTGGTAAGCTCAGAACTAATTTCGTTCTACTCCCGTTTGAATTAATAACCTTCTCGAACAGTACACATATTAATGCACCACGAACAAGTGGTTTTTAAGTAAGTAACAATACTGCGACTAGCCAGGGATCGAACCCGTGCTATTTTAGCCCGCTTCGTGGGAAGCTAGCCAAAATCCACGACGGTCTAATCTCTAAGCCATCATTGCTACAAACATCAGGTACCCAGTAACACTGGGCATGTGTGTGTGTGTGTGTGTGTGTGTGTGTGTGTGTGTGTGTGTGTGTGCGCGCAATTCGTGCAGCGCTACCTACATTCCTGGCAGTCTTCTCGCTCTTTGGCTGATGTCTACTTATTCCTTCTTCTGCCTGCAGTCCCCTTCTCTTTGGTATTCACCCTTTATTCATTTTTGTTTTCAGCGGCAACGTAAACACGTGTCCTTTATCTCCCCCACACCATAGGCTGGTAACACTGCTGCTGAGAACCTGGTAACATTGCTTTTGAGAGCCCTGGTAACACTGCGGCTGACAATCCAGTAACACTGATTTTGAGAGCCCTGGTAGCACTTCTGCTGTGACTCTGTTAACACATTATGTTAACACGGTGTTGTGGTAGCAAGGTGTTGTAATTGTGGTAGAAAGGTGTTGTGGTACTGAGGTGTTATGGTTGTCGTAGTAAGGTGTTGTGGTTGTGGTAGCAAGTTGTGGTTGTGGTAGCAAGGTGTTGTGGTTGTGGTAGCAAGGCGTCGTGGTTGTGGTAGCAAGGTATTATGGTTGTGATGGCACAGCGTTGTGGTTCTGTTTAAAGAATGCGACGCTTCTGTTGGCTTTAGGGGTTTGAGGCTCCCGTTGCCCCTGCCTGGCTATTCTCAACAGTAAACATTACTAACCAACAGGACTGCAGAGAGCAAACAAACTTTTGCTTCTATGGTAAACATTACTTTGTTTACGTTTGAAATTATATGGGCGAGTGAACTCCGCAAGGAATTTTCCTCTGCTTTTATTCGGAACGTCTTTCATCGTCGTATTGAAAACTTCTTCCGTACTGAAATTGTCACATTCAACTGCTAAGAACTATAAGTTTAAACTACCGACGATTTCTGTGGCTAACGTATGAAGGTTTACCTCAGGAAGATGAGACTGGAATGTTTTCATGCCTCATATTTCATGCTATGAGGCTGGATTTTAGTCCTTCGTGCTCAGCGGAGATGTTGATAAATACTGTCAACAATGATGCGAATGTGATGTAAATGGTTTAGAAAACTGACAAGTTGAAGAATGAGACACTTGTGCAACATTTGGGGATTTTTACTGAGGAAACGTTTCTCCAGCCAGTGGCTTCTTCAGTCCAATACTGAGAAGAACGATGGAAGACAAGGAGGAGTCTGAGGTACTATCCTTGCACGGGACCTAGGACTGACCCTTGTGGAACCCCACTAGACACATGTACTCACTCTGACACCTCGTCAAGTACCAACACACATTCTTTTTTTCCTGTCAGGTATTACCTGATACATTGCAGTACTTTCCATACTATTCCTGCCTGTTCCTCTAGCTATAAGCACATCTACTCCACCGTTCTTCTTTGTATTGGACTGTAGAAGCCACAAGAGTCTTTCTTCAACACTACTGCGAATACAAACACCACGTAAGGGAAAATAATATTGAAGATAATGTGTGCTGTAGTCACTTTTGGTGTAGTCAACTGAAAAATCACGAATAGGTGATCTTATATATACCACCACAGTTTGAAAGATTAGAAATAAAGATTAGGATTATATAGGGAATGGTTGATGAGGTACAGGAATAATTGGACTTATTATGTATTCCAGTCACTTCTGATTAGGTTACAGCGATGGGTGATTGTTTCCTGGTTTGTGTTCTAGTTACAGAGAGTGGGTGAATACTTAATGGCTTCAGATCAATTTACAGCGATTAGGTGAATATTTCTTGGTTTCTGACCATGTTACAGAGGTTGGTTGAATAAATCCTTAGTTCTGGCCAAGTTAGAGTAAGTGAATATTTCCTGACTTCTAACCAGGTTAGAGCAAGTGAAAACTGTTTAAACGACCAAATAAATAAAGTTTACAGGGGAGGAGGGTCGGGGGATGGCTGAAGAGTTATTGGGGTGGGGAGGGGATGAATGGTGTATAATGGCTTGTTTACAGAGTTAATGGGTAGTTTAGTGCGTCTACTGAGAACCGTTTCCGAATAAAATATGGGTCCCGAGGCTAATAACAGGCAATTATGAGAAGTTTCGAGGATTTGGCAGGTAAGGTTCCAACCAGACTTGTTTGTACAACACATAATTTGGTATGGGAGGTTGTTGATGCTGTTGCTGCTGCCGTTGTTAGCAGTGTTGGTATAAATTACCAAATTTAGGTCACCCTGCCTCGGTGAGATACACACATACACAAACACACACACACACACCCACACATATATATATATATATATATATATATATATATATATATATATATATATATATATATATAATATATATATATATATATGTTGTGCCTGTGGGCACAACAGCTGGAATATACTGAGACAATGTGTTTTACCATAGAGTCAAGTGCCTATACTTGCTGAACTTGTTTTTTCCTATGATCAGTTGCACCGCCCCGTTTACTAATACTAAATGGAAACATAGGGGGCAGTAAGAGCAGGTGCACATGTATAGCCACACATCATTACTCTGCCGTTTCCCAGATATATAATGTGATCCCATTGTGGTGGATAGCAGGTTTATGATGGTGCACAGTAGGGATCTAGCTTCTCTCTACGCTGGCCACTGGCTGTGGCAAGACTTGTTTAAGATAACGTTGTTGGCTTCGTTGTGTCTGATGTGTTAACCTTCGTGACATTCACAGTTTAGACCATTTGCTCCATTCCGAGCGGCTGCCACCACGTCATGAAACACTGACAAAAAAGTGATCTTCCAAATAAATTAAATATTAAAAAAAATAAAAAACTCATTCGCAAACTATTGCCTAAAAGTCAGTAAAATCTGTTAGTTTCCCTTACATAGTTATTAAAAGTAAGGTTCACGAGTGAAAAAATCTCATCCAGTGTTGAGCTTCTCCAGTAAGTTAACCTGAGAGTAATGTCATGAGTGTCTCGTAGTGCTAAGTATAAGCTACGTTTAACTATTCAAAAAAAAAAAAAAAAAAAACAGAAAAAGAAAAACGAAAGCTTTTCTTAAATAACGGTCTGGTTCATGAGCATAAAGTTTATTGTAATTGCTCATAACATAAGTATCTTGGAGCTGGTACGATGGCGAGAGAGAGAGAGATTAAGTACTTACAAGCCTTACGAGAAACGCATATAACTAGTGAAAACTACCAGGTAGAATAACTGCAAATTCGGTGGTTCGGTACTCTCACTCTGACAAAAAAAAAGATTAGCTAAGAAATGGATTGCATTACAACCCAAGCCAACTTTATAGGTTGGATTCCACATGGCGGAGCTCCAGAAAAATGTTGAATTCTACATGTCTGACCTGCAAAACTACCTCGAATAGTAGAGTACAAGTTACAACACCGTGGCTGCAACACTTCACAATTAGCTCAGTATTTGAAGAGGAGACTTAAGACGATGTTGCAGCGTCTACATCATCCGTGGCACCGTCTACACTACCCCAGGCACCATCCACATAATCCGTAGCATCATCTACGCCACCCGTAGCATCATCTACGCCACCAGTCTCGACATCTAGCCCGGCATGACACAGGATCAAAGTACCTTCTGCATTCGCAAAATAATTTCATCACTTTTCCCCGGAGATATTGAAGACAGTGCCGGTAAAGCTGCCATCTTCAGTAACTTCGGTGAATTCAGGTGTTTTAACTTCGACGAGAACGCGAGACGAAGCTCCGCGAGGCCTCGTAACACTCGCAGCGAGGTACCACAATGGTATCGAGAAGGCTCCAACTGTTATATAGAGCACATACAACGAGGTTCCACAAAGTTACTCACTGTGTGGTGTGTATCTTCCTTGTGTCTTGGAATGCGGAAATCTCTGGTCACTCGTCACCGGCTCTGGGGAAGGAAAAAGATGTATCATGACGGGTTTAATAATAATAATAATAATAATAATAATAGTAATAATAGTAATAATAATAATAATGTAACGTTACAGGTGTTTGTAATATCATCAGAAAGGACAGACTAAACCCGTAACCTTCATCCATTGCCTAGGAAAATGAGAGGCAACTAGATCTGGCGCCAAGAAAGAGGGTGTTAGGCCCAGTGCCTTGGATCGAGAACGCATCACCCCCCCCCTCCTATCCCTTAAGGAGAGGAGACGTTGTGAGCGAAGAGGGTGAGACGAGAGACCAGAATCTTCAACACAAAATTCTGAATGCAAGCTAAATGTTGTAATAACAATAACTTATTACACTCCCGGTAATGGAAGAAGCGCGCGCGCATACACACAAACACACATACACAGATGTAGTGGAAGCAGGATCCATACATAGCTTTAAGGAGAAGTATGATAAAGCTCATGGAGAGGGAAGAGTGACCGAGTAGCGGCCAGTGAAGAGGAGCTGTGAATCGACCCCTGTAACCACAACTAGGTGAGTACAACAACTAGGTGAGCACACACACACAAAGTCCTGATATGTATATACATGAAGCGACTCTCTCCTACACAGACACGCACTGCGTGCCAATATGTGTATGTAAATTGCAAAGTCAGTACAACATATTTATCTGTACGCATAAACCCCCCAAAAAAACGCACACGAAAACGCACAAATTACGTACTTGCTGCATTTTCCAATTAAATAACTAAAAAAAAGTATGAAAGCAAGAAAAAAGTTGATACGACCTACAGGTGTGGCTACGACCACACTGTGTTGACCAAGTGTTTACTGGGACGATGTTTTGCTCAGAGCTTCGTCAAGCCATCATAAACCTCTACCCAGAGCGAAATGTTCTCTCTTACCATGAAAACCTTGATATACCTTCTCTACTTAAGAATTTTAAAACCAAAGTTGTATATAAAAGTCTTGATACAGTAAAAAAAAAAAAAAAACTTGTGATAAAAATTCCCTAAAAAAAATGTTGATGGCTGTGTCTACGAGATTCCAGGTTAAAATTGTAATAAAAATTATTACGGTCAAACTGGGAAAAGTTTTGAACTAAGATTACAACAACATAAATATAGCATTAGAAATGAACAAGTGTCTAATGTTCTGTTTCTCCATGTGAGAAATTCTAACCATCCAATTGATTTACAAAAGGCCGAGAAAGTTTTATCAAGCAAGTCTATAGTTGATAGAAATATAATTGAATCAAGCTTCATATAAAACTGGTTTTGATTTTAATATGAACATTGGTTTAGCGTTGTACAAATCGGATTCATTTATAAGTACTAAAATTTGGGAAGAATTTAGGCTATGGGACGTGTGTAATGTATGTGAGGTGATATTTCAGGTTTGTAAGTCTTCAGCTGTTCTATTATTTTTACAGGTCCTTGAAAAGGTGAGAAATCACGAAAGCACTTGGAATTTCACTATGTTTTCACAGTGGTTGTTTTGCATATTATGATATCACCTGTTGACTGTGATCTTAGTGAATATATAATATATATATATATATATATATATATATATATATATATATATATATATATATATATATATATATATATATATATATGCAAAACAACCACTCTGAAAGAATAGAGAAATTCCAAGCGCTTTCGTGACTACTCACATTATCAAGGAACTATAGTTCCTTGATAATGTGAAGTACAATGCCTGCACTTTAAAGGAGGGGTTTGGGATATTGGCAGTTTGGAGGGATATGTTGTGTATCTTTATATGTGTATGCTTCTAAACTGTTGTATTCTGAGCACCTCTGCAAAAACAGTGATAATGTGCGAGTGTGGTGAAAGTGTTGAATGATGATGAAAGTATTTTCTTTTTGGGGATTTTCTTTATCAAGGAACTATAGTTCCTTGATAATGTGAGTAGTCACGAAAGCGCTTGGAATTTCTCTATTCTTTCAGAGTGGTTGTTTTGCATATTCTGAAATCACCTGTTTACTGTGATCTTATTGCATATATATATATATATATATATATATAATATATATATATATATATATATATATATAATATATAATATATATATATATTTTTTCAACAAGTCGGCCGTCTCCCACCGAGGCAGGTGACCCAAAAAAGAAAGAAAATCCCCAAAAAGAAAATACTTTCATCATCATTCAACACTTTCACCACACTCGCACATTATCACTGTTTTTGCAGAGGTGCTCAGAATACAACAGTTTAGAAGCATACACATAAAGATACACAACATATCCCTCCAAACTGCCAATATCCCAAACCCCTCCTTTAAAGTGCAGGCATTGTACTTCCCATTTCCAGGACTCAAGTCCGACTATATGAAAATAACCAGTTTCCCTGAATCCCTTCACTAAATATTACCCTGCTCACACTCCAACAGATCGTCAGGTCCCAAGTACCATTCGTCTCCATTCACTCCTATCTAACACGCTCACGCACACTTGCTGGAAGTCCAAGCCCCTTGCCCACAAAACCTCCTTTACCCCCTCTCTCCAACCCTTTCGAGGACGACCCCTACCCCGCCTTCCTTCCCCTATAGATTTATATGCTTTCCATGTCATTCTACTTTGATCCATTCTCTCTAAATGACCAAACCACCTCAACAACCCCTCTTCTGCCCTCTGACTAATACTTTTATTAACTCCACACCTTTTCCTAATTTCCACACTCCGAATTTTCTGCATAATATTTACACCACACATTGCCCTTAAACAGGACATCTCCACTGCCTCCAACCGTCTCCTCGCTGCTGCATTTACCACCCAAGCTTCACACCCATATAAGAGTGTTGGTACTACTATACTTTCATACATTCCCTTCTTTGCCTCCATAGATAACGTTTTTTGACTCCACATATACCTCAACGCACCACTCACCTTTTTTCCCTCATCAATTCTATGATTAACCTCATCCTTCATAAATCCATCCGCCGACACGTCAACTCCCAAGTATCTGAAAACATTCACTTCTTCCATACTCCTCCTCCCCAATTTGATATCCAATTTTTCTTTATCTAAATCATTTGACACCCTCATCACCTTACTCTTTTTTATGTTCACTTTCAACTTTCTACCTTTACACACATTCCCAAACTCATCCACTAACCTTTGCAATTTTTCTTTAGAATCTCCCATAAGCACAGTATCATCAGCAAAAAGTAACTGTGTCAATTCCCATTTTGAATTTGATTCCCCAAAATTTAATCCCACCCCTCTCCCGAACACCCTAGCATTTACTTCCTTTACAACCCCATCTATAAATATATTAAACAACCATGGTGACATTACACATCCCTGTCTAAGACCTACTTTTACCGGAAAGTAGTCTCCCTCTCTTCTACACACCCTAACCTGAGCCTCACTATCCTCATAAAAACTCTTTACAGCATTTAATAACTTACCACCTATTCCATATACTTGCAACATCTGCCACATTGCTCCTCTATCTACTGTATCATATGCCTTTTCTAAATCCATAAATGCAATAAAAACTTCCCTACTTTTATCTAAATACCGTTCACATATGCTTCAATGTAAACACTTGATCTACACATCCCCTACCCACTCTGAAACCGTGCTCATCCGCAATCCTACATTCTGTCTTACCTCTAATTCTTTCAATTATAACCCTACCGTACACTTTTCCTGGTATACTCAGTAAACTTATTCCTCTATAATTTTTACAGTCTCTTTTGTCTCCTTTCCCTTTATATAAAGGGACTATACATGCTCTCCGCCAATCCCTAGGTACCTTCCCCTCTTTCATACATTTATTAAACAAAAGTACCAACCACTCCAACACTATATCCCCCCCCCCCCTGCTTTTAACATTTCTGTCATGATCCCATCAGTTCCAGCTGCTTTACCCCCTTTCATTTTACGTAATGCCTCACGTACCTCCCCCACACTTACATTCTGCTCTTCTTCACTCCTAAAAGATGGTATACCTCCCTGACCAGTGCATGAAATTACTGCCTCTGTTTCTTCCTTAACATTTAAAAGTTCCTCAAAATATTCTCACCATCTACCTAATACCTCCATCTCCCCATCTACTAACTCCCCTACTCTGTTTTTAACTGACAAATCCATACTTTCCCTAGGCTTTCTTAACTTGTATAACTCACTCCAAAATTTGACAGTGCCTCTCCCACTCTATCATCTGCTCTCCTTTTGCACTCTCTCACCATTCTCTTTACCTTTCTTTTACTCTCCATATACTCTGCTCTTCTTATAACACTTCTGCTTTGTAAAAACCTCTCATAAGCTACCTTTTTCTCTTTTATCACACCCTTTACTTCATCATTCCACCAATCGCTCCTCTTTCCTCCTGCCCCCACCCTCCTATAACCACAAACTTCTGCCCCACATTCTAATACTGCATTTTTAAAACTATTCCAACCTTCTTCAACCCCCCCACTACTCATCTTTGCACTAGCCCACCTTTCTGCCAATAGTCGCTTATATCTCACCCGAACTACCTCCTCCCTTAGTTTATTCACTTTCACCTCCCTCTTACTTGTTGTTGCCACCTTCCTCTTTTCCCATCTACCTCTTACTCTAACTGTAGCTACAACTAAATAATGATCCGATATATCAGTTGCCCCTCTATAAACATGTACATCCTGGAGCCTACCCATCAACCTTTTATCCACCAATACATAATCTAATAAACTACTTTCATTACGTGCTACATCATACCTTGTATATTTATTTATCCTCTTTTTCATAAAATATGTATTACTTATTACCAAATCTCTTTCTACACATAGCTCAATTAAAGGCTCCCCATTTACATTTACCCCTGGCACCCCAAATTTACCTACAACTCCCTCCATAACATTTTTACCCACTTTAGCATTGAAATCCCCAACCACCATTACTCTCACACTTGATTCAAAACTCCCCCACGCATTCACTCAACATTTCCCAAAATCTCTCTCTCTCCT